ACTTATTTGGAGTGGGTTCACGAGAATCAAGCACGGCGAATGCGGAGCCGTAGCGAATGGTTGGTTTTTCGTCGGTTAGTTTTGGCTAGTAGTATTCGAATAGTGCAACATTCCAGGTTTTTGTCACCCACGATACCGTCGAAATCAAGCTCTCATCCGGGGGACTGTGATTTATTCACGTTGAAAGCACTGCCTGCTTCTTTTTCGTTCACAGCAGAGGATGATAAGAAGCTCAGTGATACGTCAGACACCATCCCACTGCTTTCGAAGAAATCTTTCAAGATCCTATCACACATTGAGCGGCTGAACCTGCAAGCTAAAAAGATGCGGCAGCCTTTTTCTGAGGTCAGTCCATTCAATAATGTTAAGTGCTCGGGGGGCGGGGGGGGGGGGGGAAGGAGTACTGAAAAAGTAATTTTTTTTCATAAAGTGAGGGTCACATATACGTTGTAGCCAGAGCGACTAAAGTGGGTCTGTGAATGACGCCACTTGCTCGTCATTCGCCTCAGGACCTTATTGAATCAATGTGGCAGTATCAATCCTTTTGCCATGATTTGCCGGTTGGCTAACATATATTGTCCTGAACCTTTCCAAATGGGGTGATCGGCTTCTTCACGTTCTATAATCTTTCTACTCTGTAGGCTAGTTTGAGTTTAGAACAAGGTAATTTCCCAAAATTGAAGCGAAAACAGTGGGAGCGCTTTTAGCCAACTGAGCTCCTTTTTTAATGAGGACCTAATACATTTTCTGTACGTTTGTCACACCTTATTTGTAATTTCATCGAATTGAGATTTTTTGAAACCTTACTGTAAAACCTTTACTTTTTAGTTCAGCTTCCTCAAAATGTGCAGTTTTCAGAGAACATGTAGTACGTCTAGTCCGAAGAACAACTGTTCCTGTACCATGTCATCGTCAGGTTTACCATCTTCATGTGGTGTGAGGCGGAGGTCATGGCGAGTACGCTCTCTTAAGGGCAACCTGCTGGGACTCAAAACGGTATGACTTCATTTTTTTTCTATTCGTACTTGGTATTGTTCATTCTGGCTCTATACGAAAGAGATGAGGGCATTCTGGTGCAGAGCAATCGAAGCTTCATAAACTACGGCCAACACTTCTTTTTATCGAAAGGATGGGTGGGGATTGGTGCCTAAAATTGAAGAGATGAGGGGGGACGGTGCGAAGAAACGCTGGAGCTGGGAGTTTTGCTCAGGCCTAGCAGGGGAAAGGGTAGGTAGATCATCCATGGCCTACTTTATTTCTAGAATAGGGCACCTGATTGCGTCGTGGAAAGGTTTGTAAAATGAATACAAATAAATACGATCTTTCCCGAATTCCTTTTCGGATTTCTTCCTTAGATCAGCCCACTTTCGCAGTCACTTATTCTCACTGATTTTCCCCTCCCTTGTCACCGAAAACTTCGGCTATGGAGGTTTGATTATCCAGTTCTTGTAAATAGTTTTATTCAACCATAGCCAGGAGATTGGGCGAGTGGGGGTGGCCAGTCTGCACGAAGGTGTTCCTTCGCCCTATATATCGACCCGTGTATTGGCTAACCAGTGATTAGGTGCCTCTGTCTGCAGTAGCACTTTTCATCTTTTGCTTAGGTGATCACCAAAAGTTTTTTTTTGACGGCTAGGTTTTCTGGTAAATTCGATTATGTCAGACAAGCAATGAATTCTTGCATTGATCGTTTTCAGCATCTTGATTCTCCGGAGCCTCCAGTTTTGCCAAGCCAGCGGGTCAGCGGCAAGACAATGTACTCGCGTTCGTTGGCTCATAGCATTGGTGGAGAAACCTGGGTGATGGAGGTTATATCTGATGAGATATGGAAGAAGAAGAGAAGTGTCAAGAAAAAACATTGAATTCACTCCAGTCTTTGACCATTTTTGATATACATGAGTATCCTTGATCATGCTCTTTGTCATCACTGCATTTCTTTCTTTTCCATATTTAAATCACCTCATTCTTGAATTAATCCTTGTTGCAGTCAATTTTTAAATAATTTATTATATGTATTGTCTTATGTTCTCCTGTGATTCATTGGCTGCCATTTGTTTGAGGTTGTGCATTTCGCCATGTCTTTCATTCGTTATCCCTGATCATGGGCTGTTGCTAAATATTTGTGATGCTGTTCACTTAGTATTGCTTGCCTACAACATATAGCTTTCTTTAAGAATTTCTTGATAATAATTCACTTGCTTTGCTGACGTCATCACTGTTAGCGGTCACCGAGTGTGTGTGTAGCGCTATGTGTACGGAAAATTCTCTACCAAATCATAGCTACACTCATATAAATATTCTAAAACAAGTTAGCGTGGTCTATAACACTTGTTGGAGTACTTGGTTTACTTGTAAAAGATTTTTATTTTTTATAATTTTTTGGCTGTCCCTTCTAATAGTCAGTGTAGATGCTGAAGGCGTATCAGTGGGCTAGGTCGCGGGCGATGCGAGTTCGTTTTGTACCAATCGATGAAGAGGGAAAAGCGAAAACATTGGTGGAAAGTGTGCTGACGCCGCGCGGAGCCCTGCCCCTCCCTTAGCACACCCATCATGCGCAGCAAACAAGACTATGCTTCATCGTTTGAGATTGAGGAATTGCGTTTCATGATAGGAAGCGCTGCTTAGGCAGCGTTCAGACTTCGCGACAGCAGCGCTTCGGTCGCGCGTTCGACGCGATCGATGCAGTCAAAAGCATGCGCATCGATTGCGTCGAACGCGCGACCGAAGCGCTACTGTCGCGAAGTCTGAACGCTGCCTTATCTTGTTTATTTATTCCTGAAGGGAAATCTTAAGAAAAAAGCGCTTGCGCCTCGGACTGCATGAACCTTTGCCCCTCCCTCTCCACAGCGAAACCCTGGGGAAATGGCGCTGTATGCCTCGGAGTGATTTTACACCCCCCCCCCCCCATCCCGAGGGCCAGTACACTGCAGAAGTTAACCATCTGCTACAAATTCAGGTTGCCCCCTGAAATTCCTGCATGTTCCACTTGTCTTCGAAGGTTTAACTACTATTAATAGTGGGCTACGTTGGGAAATTCGCAAAGGAATGGGTACGTATCGATTGAGAGAATCGGAGAATACAAAAATAAAATGTCGATTTAGCTGACTCCGCACAGGTGGACGATCGCGCAAAGCGGGGCTTCTGAGGGTTGGAGATTCTAAAAACGGGCCTAGATGGACATCGATTGTGAGAATCAGGCCGAAAGGATGTGGATACGCATCACTGGATTGACTTCATTCAGAGGCAGTTCTCGTGCTCAAACAACTCGTAGTCGTTCTCAATTTTACAAGTAGTATGGCCCTTAGTCTCTGAGATTATCCCACTTTCGCGGCTTCACAGTAAGTAGTGAAGGCGCTGTGGCCCTCATAAGTGGCAGTCCGACGCCTCCCTAGTTGTCCGCCCACCACAGAAAGGCTATTTCTTGTCACAAGTTTAATTCCACACCGTCTTTTTCGTTTTTTTTTGTTGGGTGGTACTAGCATTGCATGACGCGAATAAATGATCAGTGAGCCAGAGACGGCAGCATATTGCCTTGGTGGCTCAAAACGAGCACGTGCGGGGAATTCGTCCACTGCGGCTGCCAAAGGTTCTTTAGGATGTTCGCCATGATTCTTTTACTTTTTCTTTCCTGAAGAGTCGCTTAGCTTA